AATCCAAAGAATCAATGAATCAAAAAGCTGATTCTTGGAGAAAATCAACAAGATCGACAAGCCCCTATCCAAATTAATCAAACGGCAGAGAGAGAACATGCAAATTAATAAGATCAGAAATGAAAAGGGGGACATAACCACAGACACAGAGGAAATTCAGAGAATCATTAGATCTTACTACAAAAATTGATATGCCACAAAGTTGGAAAATGTAAAAGAAATGGACATTTTTTTTAGATAAGTACCATATACCAAAGTTGAACCAAGACCAGGTGAACAATCTAAACAGACCTGTCAGTCGTGAAGAATTAGAAGCTGTTATTAAAAATCTCCCTACCAAAAAAAGCCCAGGACCAAATGGTTTCAATGCAGAATTCTACCAGAAATTCCAGGAAGAGCTAATACCTATACTCCTTAACATATTTCACAATATAGAAACAGAAGAATCATTGCCAAACTCTTTTTATGAGGCTACTGTTACCCTGATACCAAAACCACACAAAGACACGACCAAGAAAGAGAATTACAGACCAATCTCACTCATGAACATTGACGCAAAAATACTCAATAAAATACTGGCAAACCGAATCCAAGAATACGTTAGAAAAATTATCCATTATGATCAAGTGGGCTTCATCCCAGAGAGGCAGGGCTGGTTCAACATACGCAAATCTATCAATGTAATACATCATATAAATAAACTGAATGAAAAAAACCATATGATCATTTCATTGGATGCTGAAAAAGCATTTGACAAAATTCAACACCCTTTTATGATAAAGGTGTTGGAGAGACTGGGGATACAAGGATCATACCTAAATATAATAAAAGCAATATACAGCAAGCCGTCAGCTAACATCAAATTGAATGGAGAGAAACTCAAAGCCTTTCCACTAAAATCAGGAACACGACAAGGCTGTCTACTCTCACCATACCTCTTCATTATAGTGCTCGAATTTCTAGCAATAGCAATAAGACAACATAAGGGGATCAAGGGGATACGAATTGGAAAGGATGAAGTTAAACATTCGTTATTTGCAGACGATATGATTGTGTACATAAGCGATCCCAAAAACTCTACCAAAGAACTCCTACAGCTGATAAACACCTTTAGTAATGTGGCAGGATACAAGATCAACTCCAAAAAATTGGTAGCCCTCCTATACACAAAGGAAAAAGAAGCAGAGAGGGAAATCAGAGAAACATCACCCTTCATGATAGCCACAAATAGCATAAAGTATCTTGGGGTAACTCTAACCACGGAAGTGAAAGACCTATTTGATAAGAACTGTAAGTCCTTGAAGAAAGAAATTGAGGAGGATACCAGAAAATGGAAAGACCTCCCCTGCTCTTGGATTGGGAGAATCAACATAGTAAAAATGGCAATTCTACCAAAAGCAATCTATAGATTCAATGCAATTCCCATCAAAATCCCATCAAACTTCTTCACAGACCTGTAGAGAACAATAATCAAGTATATATGGAAAAACAAAAAACCCAGGATAGCCAAAACATTCTTATACAATAAAGGAACATCTGGAGGCATTACCTTCTCTGACTTCAAACTCTATTACAGAGCAACAGTATTGAAAACAGCTTGGTATTGGCATAACAACAGAGAAGTAGACCTATGGAATCGAATAGAAGACCCGGGTATTAACCCACAAACGTATGAACACCTGATTTTTGACAAGGGAGCTAAAGCTATACAATGGAAGAAGGATAGCATCTTTAACAAATGGTTCTGGGATAACTGGATGTCAACCTGCAGAAGAATGAAAATAGATCCATATCTATCACCATGCACAAAACTCAGGTCCAAATGGATTAAAGACATCAACATTAATCCGACCACTTTGAACCTGAAAGAAGAGAAAGTAGGAAGTAGTCTACAAGACATTGGCACAGGAGACCACTTCCTAAGCAGAACCCCAGGAGCGCAGACAATAAGAGAAACAATGAATAAATGGGACCCCCTTAAACTGAGAAGCTTCTGTAAAGCAAAGGAAACTGTCAGTAAGACAAAAAGCTACCTTCTGTCTTGGAGAAGATCTTCTCAAACCCCTCAACAGACAAAGGTCTGATCTCCAAAATATACAAAGAACTCAAGAAACTAGACACTAAAATTCTAATTAACCCAATTAAAAAATGGGGTACTGAACTGAACAGAGAATTCACAACAGATGAACTTTGAATGGCTAAAAAGCACTTAAGGTCATGCTCAACCTCCTTAGCAATCAGGGAAATGCAAATCAAAACAACTTTGAGATATCATCTTACACCTGTCAGAATAGTCAAACTCAAAAACACCAATGATAGCCAATGTTGGAGAGGATGTGGAATGAGGGGAACACTCATCCATTGTTGGTGGGAAAGCAAACTTGTGCAGTCACTGTGGAAATCAGTGTGGCGGTTTCTCAGGAAACTGGGAGTCAACCTCCCTCAGGACCCAGCAATTCCACTCTTGGGAATATACCCAAGAGATGCCCTAACATACTACAAAAGCATTTGTTCAACTATGTTCATAGCATCACTATTTGTAATAGCCAGAACCTGGAAACAACCTAGGTGCCTCTCAATAGAAGAATGGTTAAAAAAAGTGTGGAACATATATACATTAGAGTTTTACTCAGCGGTAAAAAACAATGACATCTTGAATTTTGGATGCAAATGAATGGAAATAGAAAACGCTTTACTGAGTGAGGTAAGCTAGACCCAAAAAGAGGAATATGGTATGTATTCACTCATAAGTGGATTCTAACCGTAATTAAAGGTCTTTGAGCCTATTGTTCATGATCCTAGAGAAGCTAAATAAGAAAGTGAACCTGACGAAAATCATGTAGCTATCCTCCTGGAGATTGGAAATAGACAAGAGTGCCAGGTAACCTCGGGTGCATGGGGGGGTGGGGAGGGCTGTTGGAAGGGGAGAGGGTTAGAGAGAAGGGAGTAGGGGAGGAATGGGGAAAGATAGGGGGACTGGGATGGGGGGAGGGAGAATGGATAGATATGGGATCAGGGAAGCATATACCTCAACTAAGGGAGTCATTTTAGGGTTTACAAGAGACTTTAGTATAAAGGGGATCCCAGGTCCAAGGAGAGATCCCCAGATTGTTCTCTGGACGGAGGAGAGGGTGCCTGAACCGGCCTTGGCCAACAACCATAATGATGAACATTTTGCATATCGCCATAGAACCCTCATCTGGCGATTGAGGGAGATGGAGGCGGAGACCCACATTGAAACACTGGACCTAGCTCCCTAGGTCCAAAGGAGAGGCAGAAGGAAGGAGAATGTGAACAAAGAATGCAAGAGCAGAGGAAACCTTCATCCGACGTTGGATGGCGATACAGATGGAGACCCATATTGGAGCACCGGACGGAGCCCTCCATGGTCCAAATGAGGAGCAGAAGGATGAAGAAAATGAAAAAAGAAATCAGGACTGCGATGGGCGCCATCACCCACTGATACAAGGGGACTGATTTAATGAGAGTTCACCAAGGCCTGCTGGACTGGAACTGAACGAGCACGTGATTTAACCAGAATCTCTGAATGTGGCCGGATTCTCTGGATGTGGCTGGCCCTGAGGCTTTATGAAAAGCCATTGACAATGACACTGGGACTTGTTTCCTCTGCATATACTGGATTTTTGGGATCCAGTCTGTTTGGATACTCACCTTCCTGGACCTGGAGGGAGGGGGGAGGAACTTGAACTTCCCACAGGGCAGGAAACCCTGACTACTCTTAGGGATGGAGAGGCAGGAGGAGAGGGAGTGGTGGAATTCGGAGGGTGTTGGGAGGAGGGGCGGAAATGGAAACTTTTATAATTTAATAAACATTAAAAAAATAAGTAAATAAAACCTGAGAAAAGATAATGCTGTCTCCATATCTATTCAACATAGTACTTGAGGTTCTAGCTAGAGCAATAAGAATACAAAAGAATTACCTCACTCAATATGATTGGAGTATTTTTTCCCAACCCTTTACTCTGAGATGATGTCTGTCTTTGAGGGTTGAGGTGAGTTTCTTTTATGCAGAAGAAGGATGGATTCTGTTTTTATGTTCAACCTGTTAGCCTGTGACTTTTTATAGGTGAGTTGAGTCCATTTATATTAAGGATAATAATGACCAGTGATTGCTATCTCTCGTTAACTTAAATTTCATTGTTGGTGATGTTAATTTGTGCATTACCCCCTTCTTTGGAATTTACTGCTATGAGACCATCAATTGTTAGTGTTTTTGTTGATGTAGCCAACTTTCTTAGGTTGGAGTTTTTCTTCTAGATATTGAGTGAGGTAACTCAGGCACAGAAAGACAATTATTACATGTACTCACTCATAAGTGGGTTTTAAACATAAAGAAAAAAGCAGCCCACAAAACACAATCCGAGAGAACCTAAACAACAATGAAGACCCTAAGAGAGACATACATAGATCTAATCTACATGGGAAGTCGAAAAAGACAAGATTTCCTGAGTAAATTGTGAATATGGGGACCTCTGGAGAGGGCTAAAGGGGGAGGGGAGAGTCAGGGAGAGGAGCAGAGAAAAATGTAGAGCTCAATAAAATAAATAAAAATAGTGTTGTATACTTCAATTCTATGTGTGGGATATTTTGGAAACAGGCCCCGTATGTACTTATCCTGTGAAGGCTTATTTTCAGGAAAGAATTATTGAATTCGTTTATTCAAGGATCACACAGGTAGCATGGTCATGTGCACACCTCACATTGCCTGAGAAGCCTCTACCCTGGATCACAGCTAGAGCAGAGGTGAAACTATCATGTAAAGAAAGACAGGTTTTGGAAAAATGGATGCAGATGACACAATAACATGAGGATGGCCACACAAATGTACACACATTGTGTAGAATCATCAGTGACTACTAATGTATATGGGGATGAATCAAAGATACATGGGTTCTTCATGCTGCATTACAGCATCATGGTCACTTCTTATCTTTCTCCTTCTACATTAAAAAGAAGTTTGAGAAAAAGTCTTTTATTACCAGTTTGATTGGAAATGTGTCTCTCTGGACAAAACAAACAAGAAAAACAGCAGATAGGTCTGTCTTCTTCTAGAATTTTCCAGAAACCTGGACCACAGCTCTTTGTACATACTGATACAGGAGTCTAAGGGCAAAACAGAAAACCTGGTCATAATTTTGTACCTCAATCACAGGCTTAAGACAATTTAAAGCCAAGCAATTTAAACTGCATGAAGACTATGAAAGTTGTACATATTTATGAGGCACTCTGAAGTCTCCATATGGGAATTTGGAATGTAGAGTGTAGAGTTGAAGTTAGCACACTTCAAGATGCTAAATGTTCAAAATTTCTTTATGCTGACCAAACTGTGACTCACTTCTGTTAGCATTTGAGATAAGTGTAGAACATCCATATAGTTTCTTCCTGTGAAACAGCAAGCCAAAACTCCTTCCTTGTATGAATTACAAATTAGTTGAACTGTCAGACAGAAACCCAGTCACTCTTGCCTATCTGCTTCTACTTTTAGCTTCCCAAGTTTGTAGTCACAACCATTCACTTTGATTGCCATGTACCATGAAAGAGAGTTTGACCATTGGTAGGTGATCAAAGATTCTTCTGACTTCATGACATGTTGATGTTCCAGAGAACCAAAATTATGATCCATTACTGTGAGTTTCATCCTTCACCCCCTATGCTCAGAATAATACCATGCTTTTTCTTTCAAACATTAGCAACTTAATCATTTAGAATTTTTTAAACCAATTTACTTCTAAGTTAATTACATTGATCACTATACTTTTAACAAAACTTCAGTTTGTTGATATTTTGGGAAAATGTGTATGCAAAAAATATTTCTATCTTTCCTTTAGACATGCTTCTTGTCATAATTTGGACTCAGTTTCTGTCTTTTAAATATCTACATATTGGGATGGAGAACTTGCCCAGCATATAAGAGTGTATATTACTCTTGCAGAGAAACCTGAGGGCAGCTCCCAGCACACAAATACAGCACTTTACAAACATTGTTTATAGAGATGATTTATTTACATATTCATAATTTACTTCTTTATAAGGACTGTGGACAAGTTTGAGTATGAATTGTGTTCAATGGAGAGATGCACTGAGCATCTACATGCATGTATAATAAAATGTGTATATGTATGCACATGATTGTGGGCATGGGTATATACACTGGAAATATACACATACAATCATATATATATATATATATATATATATATAGCCATAAACACTTTTCTATTCATTCATTATAATATGAATAAATGCATAAAAGTTCAAATTCAATTCAAACTAATTCTATCTACAGGAGTTAGCTAACAATACGTTCTTGTTTGTTTGTATATGCCTATGCATATGTTCATGTATATATATATATACATATATCAAAGTCAAATTTAAAAAATTTATTTATTTTTAAAATAAAGACATCAAATAGAACAAAAGAGATAGCTCAGTATTTAATGTGCTTCCCACATAAGCAAACAGTCCTGAATTTGATTATGCAGAATGGAAGTATAGAAAATTCAGGTGACAAACTGTATGCCTTTTATCTAATTATGGCAGTCACGGAGACAAGTAGACAGTGTGTGGCATGATGGACAGACAGGAAAGCTAAATGAGAGGGCAAGGAGTTGAGAGAGAGATTGTGTTTATAATAAAATGGAGAACAATTGCAGATGGTATCCACTCTGACTTTGGCCTTAACAGGCACATGCACTCACATGCATGAGCATTCACACACAAGCTCACAACAGAGCTAAAAACTTACAATATCAGCAAAACATATGCATAGATCCACATCAAAAAAGGAATTAGATAAGATTTACTGACAAAATTGGGAGCATGTGGATGGGGGAGAAGAGAGAGAGGAAGGGGAAGAGGAGGAGAGGAGAGTGGGAGAATTTGAGGGAATGAGATGATTGAGATGGAGGAAGAACAGAGATGAGAACAAAAAATAAAGAGATATCTTGATTGAGGGAGATACTATGGGGCTAGCAAGAAACCTGGCTCTAGAGAAAATATCAGGAATCAACAAGGATGACCCATCTAAGATTCTGAGCAATAGAGGAGAGGGTATCCAAACTGGTCTTGCCCTCTAGTCAGATTGATGAATACCTTAAATATCACCATAGATCTTCACCCAGCAACTGATGAGAATAGAGGCAGAGACCTGCAGTGGAGCACTGAACTGAGCTCCCAAAGTTCATTTGAAGAGTGATAGGAGTAAGAATATAAGGAAATATGTCAATACCATCATGGGGACACTCATCGAAACAGCTTACCTGAGCTAATGGGAGCTCACCAACTCCAGCCGAGCCGGACAGGGAGGGAACAAGCATAGGACCAATCTCGATACTCTTTCCTTACTCTCATCTCTATTTTTTCCTCCATCTCATCTATTCTGGTCCCTCCAGTTCTCCTCCTCCCTCCCCTTCTCCCCTCTCTTCCTCTTCCACTGTCCCTTCTCCCCCCACCCCATATAACAATGAAAGTTGTATGGCTGGGGCAGACTGCAGGGCCATTGGCAGTGGCACCATGATTTATTCTTACTGCTTGTATTGGCTTTTTAGGAGCCTATTCTCTCTGGATGGATACCGTACTCAGCCTAGGTATAGTAGGACCTTCCCCAAAATAATGAACATTACTCTCTCTGAGGAGTGCACGGGGGTAATGTTTAGGGTTAGGTAAAAAAATGGGAAGAGCAGAGGACATGTGGACTGGGATTGATATGGAAAATAAAAAAGATTGTTTTCTTTCTTAAAAATAAAATAAGTATAAAAAAGAATTATTTGAAAATTTCAAAAAGACATAATACAATTCACAGAGCTCTTGGTAGAGATTTTTCAATATATTAAAGATTGAAATTTTGTCAGACCTGATTGTAGTGGCTCGGCCATTTGATCATAACTTCATTGATGAACAAGCCGTGATCTTGTGGATTCTTGAAGACAAACTCTCCTACTTTAACTAGAAATGTATAATGATTCGTATTTACCATAAAATTTTGTATGTCATACTTTTCCACATGATTCTTTTTCTCATCAAAGCATATTTGGTCTCCATCAGTGTTTGTAAATTGAATTTTCCTCAGGAATGGATGAAGCTGGAGAGAGACAACATTTGGGTATGAGTGGTGCATACAAGTTTCTCACTGATGGTTTCTCAGAACAAGCCCCCTTCTCTCTCCCTATTGTGGCTTTCTTTTTGAAAAGCCTTCATTTGAGTCATTGTCTTCCAAGTTGTTCCAGTGAGATGAACTTTGTTCCTCATGAAACCAAAGCAGGATTAGCTGAATGTAAATAGAAATGGCATCTAAGGGGTAAAACATAGGATAGTTGGAAGCATGTTCTATGTGGAACCAAGGCCCTGTGTCTCCAGTTAGACAATTTACATGTTTTCAGAGTGAAACTGAAGTAAAAGTGTAAGCAACACTATGTATTTGGGTGTACAGGTGTTAAGATATTTATATTTTTATAACACAATGAACATATGTGTGTATAGTTAGTTAAGTAGATAGGTATACATGTAGATATACAGAGTATCTTGACCTTATAATATCAGCAATATTAAATATGCAGCAATTTTGTGTGTCATTTATGCTTCAGAAAACTGTAAAGAGACCTACTAACTGCCTCCATTCTTTCTTTCTTTAGCTTGAATAACATAATTTGCCTTCTATATTTGGTATGAACATTGTTGGATGCAAATTAAAATCCAAATATTCAGTGCTTTAACTAGAATTTTAAAAGATTTATTCTTATATTAATTCCTTTTAATTTTGTATTGAGTTGCTTTGAAGAATAGAAGATGGTGCTGGATCCTTCATAACCAGGGTTACAGAGAGCTGTAAGCTGCTTTGTGGATACTTGGAACTGAACATGGGTCTTCTATAGAGCAGAATGTATGCCTGACCACTGAGCAATCTCTGGCCCTTAGATTGTGTTCTTTTTATTTCTGTGTACTGTCTATATGTATGCATATACAAAAACTACATTTTTGAGTTCTACAGGGGACATAAATGTGTGTCACATTCCTTAGAATGGACTTACATATAGTTGTGAGCCACCAGGTGGGTATGAACAACCAAACTCAGGTCCTCTGCAAGAGGATCAAGTCCTCCTATCTCTATCATAATTTAATTACATATTTAAATTAATACGATGGGTTAACACTTCAACTTCTGAGAGTTGCTGCTGTGTTAACTAATTTGCAACTTGCAATAAAAAGACCTATTTCCTAGGTATTCAGTTATCTGTCCAAGAGACACACTAACATAAGTAATATCACATCTGTGGAAGCCATGTTCACAAAATTTGTCAAAGTCTATGTCAAATATTATTGTTATCCATAATAGTAAAATCTACATAATAGAGTAAACATTAAGACTTAATTTTTTACTTATTTATCTTTGACTGAATTAAAAGTTTACTTGATTTGGTCAATAACTTTATTGATGATAACGTATTTGAAGGTGAATGCTCAAAAGTATAAGTGATTCCAAGTTTATAAGACTGGTTTATAGAATTGGTTTAATACCCAAACATATCCAGTTACCACTAATAGATGGAGATTCAGTCTATGTGTTAGCACCATCTGTGTTCTAACCTTTAATAATGGAAGCACAGTCTTGAGTTTCATCTTTTTTTAAACCTCATTTAGGAATAAATAAACTGAAGCTTACTAGCTGGTCAGCAGGCAAGTCTTCTGAAGGTAGACTGCTCCATCCACTCCATGGATCATACCCAGTAATCTTCAACTCCCACTCTGCTCCCAAACCCACCCATCCCAAGTGACCTCATCAGATCTCTAACACACAAACTGCAACTGCACAGAGCAGACTGAGAGGTAAGTGACCAGCTTCCCAGCTGTATATTTTAGTCTCTAGGCCTAGGGCAAAACTCCAGGCTCCTCCTCTACCTGCCTCCACCAAACTTGCCTTTCTGAAGGCAAACCTCTTGTAGGTAGGCTGCTCCAACCCCTGTCAATTAGACCCTGTAAGCTACACATCACACTCCACTCCCATCCTCCCATCCAAAGAACCATGTGAGACACAGACAGTGACTGCACAGAGCAGACCAAGAGCAGCTGCCTAAGACACAGATAGCAATGGCAACAATTGGTCTAAGAGAGGATCACTGAGACACATAAACCAACTGCAAGGATTGTAGAAAGAGGCAAAGACAATGCCAGCACCATTTCAAGGAAGAGATGGGTAGTTGCCAATGCAAAAATACATTTAACAACCTAAAAGCAACATGGTAACATCAGAACCTAGTGGTCATACAACAGGAAGACTTGAACACCCTAACAAAGAAGATGTAGAAGAAAACAACCTTAAATAAAATTTTATAAAGATGATGGAGACACTTAAAGAGGAAATAAAAATTATTCTTAAAGAAATGGAGCAAAAGACAAAAATAATTGAAAGAAATCAATAAATTTCTTAAAGAAACCCAAGAAAAACAAGAAAAACCAAACAGGTGAAGCAAATAGTTGAAACAGTTCAAGACTTAAAAACTGATAAAGAGGCAATAAAGAAACACAAACTGAGGGAATTCTGGAAATGGAAAATCTAGGTAAGCAAACAGGAACTACAGATGCAAGCATAACCAACAGAATACAAGAGATGGAAGGGTGACTGTCAGGATTTGAAGATACAATAGAGGAAATAGATTCATTGGTTAAATAAAATGGTAAATCCAACAAATTCTTAATCCAAAACATTTCAGAAATCTAGTTCATGATGAAAATATCAAAACTAAGAATATTAGGGTAGAAGGAGAGGAACCCCAGTGCAAAAGACAGAAAATATATTCAACAAAATAATATAGAAAACTTTCACAACCTAAAGAATGACATGCCTTTGAAGGTCCAAAAAACTTGCAGAACTCCAAATAGACTGGACAAAAAGTCACCTCACCATATAATAATAAAAGCACTTAAATATAAGAATAAAGAAGTAGTATTAAGAGTTGTAAAGGAAAAAAGGCCAAGTAACATATAAAGGCAGACCTAACAGAATTACATACTTGACTACTTCTTAATGGAAATCCTGAAAGAAAGAAGATTCTGGACAGACATGCTCAAGACACTATGAGGTCATGGTTGCAAACCCAGTCTACTGTATCCAGCAAAACTTTGAATCACCATAGATAAAGAAAGCAAAATATTCCATGACAAAACCAGACTTAAACAATACCTACCTACAAACCCAGTCTTTCAGAAAGCATTAGAAGGAAAACTCAAACCCCAAAAAGCAAGCTACACCCATGAAAACACATCAACAGATAACCTCACACCCTCAAAACCCACAGAAGGGAAACACACAATAACTACAAGAGAAAAATTACAGGAATCAACAACCATTTGTCATTAATATCTCAATATCAATGGACTCAATCCACCTATAAAAAGGCTCAGGATAACATAATGAATATACAAACAAGATTCATTTATTTTCTCCTACAAACAATAATCGTGTCTCATCCATAAGAAAGACATTACTTTAGAGTAAAGGGCTGGAAAAAGATTTTTCAATCAAATGGACCCAAGAAACAAGCAGGTATAGCTATCATAATATGCAACAAAATAGACTCCAAATTAAAATCAATAGAAATAGAGGGAGGACACTTCATACTCATCACAGGGAAAATGAATCAAGGTGAAATCTCAATTTTGAGCATCTATGCTATAAAAGCACCCGCACATGTAAAAGAAATATTAGTAAATCTTAAATAACACATTAAACCCTACACAGCAATAGCAGGAGACTTCAACACTCCATTATCATCAGTGGGCAGGTAAGTCAGACATAAACTTAACAGAGAAATAAGAAATAACAGATGTCATGACTCAAATGAACTTAAAAGACATCTACTGAACATTTCATCCAAATACATAAGAATATACCTTTTTTTTATCAGCACCTTATAGAACCTTCTCTAAAACTGACCACATACACAGTAACAAAACAAACTTCAACAGAGACAAAAATTTGGAATAACCCCCTGTATCTTACCAGATCACCATGACTTAAAGTTAGAATTCAACAACACTAATTGCAGAAAGCTGACAAACTCATGGAAATCGAGCAATACTAAATTTGATCACCTCTGGTTCAAGAAAGAAATAAAGAAAGAAATTAAAGACTTTGCAGAATTCAATGAAAATGAGTGTACACATACCCAAACATATGGGACACTATGAAATCAATGGTAAGAGGAAAGTTTATATCTCTGAGTGCCTACATAAAAAAGTGGAGAAATCTCACACTAGCAACTTAACAGCACACCTAAAAACTCTGGAACCAAAAGAAACATACTCACTAAGGAGGAATAGATGACAAGAAACAATCAAATTGAGGGCTGAAACCAGTAAAATAGAAATAAAGAAAACAATTCAAAGAATCAATGAAACAAAAGGCTGACTCTTTGAGAATTTCAACAAGATAGACAAACCCCTACCAAAACTAATCAAAAGACAGAGAAAGAACATCCAAATTAAAAAAAAATAACTGAAAAGGAGGACAAAACAACAAACATTGCAGAAATCCAGAGAATCAGTAGGTAATACTTTGAAAATCTATATTCTAAAAAATTGAAAAATGTAAAAGAAAAAGATAAATTTCTGGATGGATATTATTTATGAAAATTAAATCAAACCAGCTGAGCAATTTAAATAGAATTATTACCTGTAAGGAAATAGAAGAGGTTATCAAATTCTCCCAAACAAAACAACCCCAAGACGCGATGACTTCAGCACAGAATTCTATCATAACTTCAAAGAAGAACTAATATATATACTTCCCAAATTGTTCCACATAATAGAAACAGAAGGAACAATGTCAAATTCTTTTTGTGGGACCACAGTTACCCTGATACACAAACCACACAAAGACTTAATTAAGAAAGAGAGTTACTGACCAATCTCCCTCATGAACACTGATGCAAAATGTTCAATAAAATACTTGTAAACCGAATTCAAGAACACATTATAAAAAATTTCATGATTTTTTTATGAAATCATGATTAAGTTGGCTTTATCACAGAGATATAGGGATAGTTCAATAAGTGAAAATCTATCACTATAATCAACCATATAAAC